CACGAAACTGAGCGGCGTAGAAAATTTTTTTCAAGGATTTCGTAGGATGATTCCTCACAATGCCATATGCTGGAAATGTCATGCCAAAACAATTCATTTGTTGGCATATTCTCTCCCTCACTTAATTTTTATGAAATTGTAAACCGAATATATCGAACTTCATTCATTCATTATCTGATAAATGAAGAAAGATAATTGTATTACCTAAACTGATAGTAAATTTTCCCTAACTAAACAAACTTTCCTTCATTCGAAGGACCACAAAAGCTATTATCCAATAAATATAGGTGTTTATTAACAGTTTTTAACTCAAGATACTCGTCATCCGTTCGCCAAACATCATCCGTAGCAACCTACTTTGGCAGAGAAGAAACCAGCTAAGGAAGAAATTGCGAAAAAGCACTAGAAGTGGATGGGGCACACATCGAGGAAAGCAGACAAGTAACTCACTCTGGAAGCTTTAACTTGGAATCTTCAAGTCTAGAGGAAAAGAATGTAAACCAAGGAACATACTGTGCCAAGAATTGGAAACAGACTTAAAAGGAATGAATAGCAACTCGTGAAGAACTGGAAAGGATGACCTAGGACAGAGTATGTTGGTGAATGCTGGTCGATGGCCTATGTTCCACTCTGGGTAACAGGTGTAAAGAAGTAAATGTCGAGAGATCATACTAAGGAAACGTCTACTTCTCAAATGCAACAACTTAATTGATCAAAATAACTTTGAAATCTCGTTAATGATTTATTTACCTAGCATGAATGGAGTAATGTTCTTATTCTGTAGAATCTTTTTTGACTCATCCTTCATCTTGATTCGAATCCCATATATTCATACTAGGAAAATGTTCTCGTAACTAAAGTCACTTTAGATAACTAACACACTAAAGGTTATAACCATCTAAGCAGTTACTCCTTGATAGAAGCACCTGGTATCGTTCATCGTTTCATTCTTTTAGTTGAATAAGTTATGAAGATTATATCACCTTCAAAACATCTTTCATCAGCAAGTAATACCAGTTTCGAAATTGGTGAAAATTAACCAGCTTTGAGGACACTGTTTCATGTACGTGTATGCATGTGGACTGATTAAACAAAACAAATGTTCCGTACTTCTTTTTCTTGTCATCCATGCTTCATCTCTGAAGTATCAGTTTTATAATTTAAAAAGAAAACCTCCTGAAAACTAAACATTCCTTAAGCAAAGCAAAATGAGATGTAATTGTTAATCTTAAAAAGCAAAAAATGTAATTTATGTAACATTTCGTTATTGAATTGTTTTTCTTTAAATTATGAAATGTGACATAATCATACAACACTTTAAAATGTCATTTGTATTCTTTTGTCAGTTTCAATTGATCAATTGCTGTGTCAAGGTTATGAAATTGAATGTTTAATTTTTCTGGATCACATATTTATTTATTAGCATATAGAAATGAATAAAGATGCATATGGCAACTTATTAATTTCATACTTTTCTTTCATAAAAAAAAATAAAAATAAAAACTTAGTTTAATTTATACAAGTTTGTGTTTTTGAGGTCATTTTACCAAAACAAAATTGATGTGTATTTTCTTTTCTATGATCCATTGTACTTTGAATGATGTTTTAATATTGATGAAAATGACCAATAAGTCACTATGTATTATTGATATGTTTAGAAAATGATACTTCATGAAAATATTGTTTACTTACAAAAAAAGAGGTATTGAAAATATGATGTTATTATTATATAACGAATTCATTTTATTAGTTAAGTGTCAAGAGAAAACTTTTAATTTGTTAAAATAACTTATGATGTTGGACTCTGGTTATTGAGAACAACTCTCTAACACCACAATAATTCAATATTCGAAATGTGCTTATGTTGGGGATGTTAGATCCCCAGAACTCACCTGATAAATGCCTTATTTTGGATTTTACGTTTCCGAGCATGGGCTGATCAGCTAACCTTGATATTTCATTTCCAACCAGGTAAATCCATGGCTGTGATTGGCTGCCGTGTGTGTTTTAGTTTGCGATTTTTGTGACGTTTCAATGATGTATAAATAAACGAGATTTGTGAGCTTGAAATCATTGTGCTTGCTGGGTGTTTGTAGAATATACTTTCTACGCTTATCAAGACTTCTCTTTTGTGGTTTGGGATCAGGGTAGCCTACTTGGACGCTGGTTGATTGTCTCGTTCTCGTTTATCGACTAAGGTGAACCCGTAACAGATTCAAACCTACCTAGTGACGAACCTTACAGCTTAGTGTTGGCCTCATCTAGCTGAATTATAAATTACCAAGCAGGGATGTGATAGAATATTTGTTTAGTTTGTTTTATTGAAACCCATGTGCAGAGAATATCCACATTGACTATTGACATTCATTCAACTGTCAGATGTTAAATAGAACTATATAATTTCCACCTTAAGCATAACTGGATAGGACACATCTTTTGAACTAATAGCAATGAAAATTAAAAACATTTTAATCAAACAAAAAACTGCCGTGAAATAAAAAAGTTACAGCTGTTTGAGGCAGGAAATATATTCGTTTTTTGAGTAGTTTTAAATATTTTAGTTTTAAACTTCTAACGACAGAGATCAGTATTTCAAAGTGATTTATTCCCTATCATGGGGTTAACATTTTCTAATCCCATCTTTTCATTGTGGAAAAGCAGTATCGTTTGAAATGGTGGTTATCGAAAGAAAGCAGATTAGTTCAGTTACATTTAAATAAAACACTGCATATTTTTCGTGAAAAAAAATCATAAAGCTCAGAATATATTAATGAATAGAAAATCGAATTTATTTTGTAAGCTATCATTGAGTATTATTGATTATTTTATGTTTATTTAAGGACATGTATTGATAAAATTAATGTATAATTGTTTCAACAAACGGTTTTGCAAATCAACTTGCAATGTAACTGAATCATTATTTACTTTTTAATTAATTTACTCTTGTAAATGATTCTAACCAAAAGTTTACTGTTTAATTAAGTGGTTTATAGATGCTAGTTAAATGTTAAAATCATTCCATTTCAAACATTGATAAGTATCTAGCACCAAACAGAGTTAAAATTCATCAGTGTCGACCTACTATGAATCGCACAGAAAGTTCATTTCAATACTAGTCGTTAGTGAGATAGGTGAGAGATAGGTGACTGTTGAAGATGCATTCATATCGAGTCGACATCATCTGAAGTTCAAGCTTAGTTAGAAGTCACAGAAGTCCAAAACGTTAGTATATTTATAGTTTCATACATGAGAATAATTCTATAATGTTCCTCCAGCTAGAGGAATTAAATAGTGAAATGTCAGTAGAAAAAAGATTATGTCCAGTTGTTTTTACTTATTGAAAAATATGAGTTTCTAATAACAATGTTTCTGGTCACATTTTATGTACCCTGAAATATTTTTTGTTTTTAAACACAAATTTTTATTCCTTTTAGTATAAGAGTAATAGTGTTCAATATAATATTCAATATTTAACGAATAAGAAATAAAAGATGAGGTTAAGGTCGTCACTAGGTATGCTTGAATCTTTTACGAGTTCGCCTTAGTCGATAAACGAGAACGCGACAATGAACAATCGTCCTGGTAGGCTGCCCTGATCCCAAACTGCAAAAGAGAAGTCTTGATAAGCGTAGAAAGTATATTCTACAAACACCCAGCAAGCACAATGATTTCAAGCTCACAAATCGCGTTTATTTATACATCATACGAACGTCCTTGGGACAGTCATAAAAATAGCACACTAAAATACACAGCAGCCAATCACAACCAAGGATTTTCGTGGTGGTAAATGAAATGTCAAGGTCAACTGATCAGCCCATGCTCGGAAACGTAAAATCCAAGATAAGGCATTTATCAAGCGGGTTTTGGGTATCTAACGATCCCAACAGATGATTTCATCGTTCAATACTGTCAACATGGTTGATAGTTCAAAATTCTAAATTTTATTCTGCTTATTTATATTTGCTTTTCCCATACAATCAAATAAACAACGTGCAAAATTTGAATAATCTACCAGATTCATTCGTGATAAAATAGATTCAATCACCAAAAGAAACTAATTTTATCATTCTCCATTCTGTTTTGATTTCTGACTATTTCTGACTGATAAGATAACTCAGACTGAACCACTGAATTCGCATTCCACTTTCAAAGTATGGAGAAATAATCATTTTAGTTAAATGTGTTTGAAATGCTGAGTGTCCAGGCTATTTTCTTATTTTTAATGCGGTAAATTTGATCTTTTCCGCAGAGATTTTCATTTTTACTATTTGCAGATAATTATTTATTGACTAAATGCTTTTTAAATATGCTAAAGTTTTTCACTACTTCCATGGTCAATGCATGTACATTTATAAACATAACTTACTTAAATCACTCTTCTTTGGTCTCTGCCAAGTCAGTCTTTCTTGTTAGAAGTGAAAGGTGTGTACTTATCTAAAGATAACTTAAGGACTATAGTGGTTAGTTCAAGCTATACCCACATTACTCTACATTGAAAATGTTGTTTAATACATAAAATTATATTCTTTAGTACAGGATATACTGTTACAACTGCATAACATTGATAATTAGTTATTGGTTCTTCCTACCGCCTTTTTAATCCTCGAATTGTTACAGTCATTCTTAGGAATATTATTGACTTGAAGCTAATTTTACTTTCTTCCTAATTTGTTGATTAAGATGAAGAAAATGACGTGAAGATTTTCGACCAGTATCTAATATCCTGATAGATGAATTATGCAGAACAATTTCGAGGAAATGCAAAACTTGAAAAACTAACTTCAACAATTATACAATAATTTGTCCTCTAATTTACATATACTACTACATATATATACTACTATGTTGATCTAAGAGATTGTTTCAAACTAATTTCTGTCATTTTGATTGCTTCAACTCATGGTTAGTGAACAGATTATTGATTTCGAGTTATCCGTATTATCTATTTGCTTCATATGTTTACGCATTGTTATTTACTTTTCTTTTAAAAAAATTAACAGGCAACATCACCAGATGAAAAAGCACTCGTTATAGGTGCAGCAAAACTCGGTGTTATATTTATGGGTACATCAGTCAATGAGAATAGTTCAGCGTCAAGAACTTATCGTATAGAATATGATCAATGTTTGCGAAATGGTTCTGATCAACCTGAAATTATGGAATATTCTATTGATGCCATTCTAGAGTTTGACTCATTTCGAAAACGTATGAGTATTATGGCTAAACATCCTGATGGCACGTATCATATTCATAGTAAAGGTGCTGAATCAAGTATTTTTAAGGTGAGGTGATTTAATATATGTGTATTGATATACGTATAACCGTAATTTTCAATTCTGTTGAAAGAGTATCTTGTTTCTTACAAACAAGCTTGTTGCTTATCTGTAGTGTGCATCGGATTACAGCCTAATTCAATGTTGCGATGATTCCAAACGGCAATCCAGAATTAATATATTAAACATTGATTGATAATGGCACGCGTTGTTCCCTATTCTAAACGACTCAGCTGATGTTATTAATATCTCAGTATGAATGTTCCCACTGGAACTCTACTTCAAACTGGTCATCAACATCTAAGTTCAGACATCAAGAAATCCAGACAACAAGCCGGTTTGCAAACAGAGACTTATCATTTGGGTTCTAAATATGATAAAACATAATCGTTGCAGCTTTGTAACTGATAGGATTCTGAGCTGCTGAAGTCTGAACTTGGGTAGTGATTTGAGGACAACAGACAACTTTATCATTGTTGACTAAATAAGATATCAATGGCTTCGAAAATAAATTATAGTCTGCATAAAACTTCATAAGACGTTGTCTAATGCTCGATTTGCGATTGGGACATCTTAATGGGCAACAAAAATAACTAATCCAATGAGATTCACTCTGTTATTTGTGCCTTAGTTCAAACAATCAACTGTGTGACTAATTATGAATCCTTATCCATGTACTTAACTACATACGCTCATTTTTCCGTCCATCTTATTGCATTCTCATAAGTCATAAAAGAAAGACTTCAGAGACACTTAAGTCAAGTACATTACAGTTTAATTCACTTCACATCATTATTTAGGATTAGTTCAGTCAAATACTGTTACCAATCATTTCAATACTAGTATTATTGCAATCAAATTACAATCATCGGTTAGTTTCTTTCTGATTTCATCCGAATGCTATTCTATTTCCATTACAGTCCCTGTTTATTCTTATTACAATTGGATCTCTACAACAATCATACAAGTACGGAGATTCAGACGTTAAGTCTACCTAGAGACTGTCAATACCCTTTCATATTCTATACATTGAAATAAATTAAAACATTTCTATAAAATTTATTCATATTAGTTGTTTGAACCTTTTGGATGATGTTTAGGACTGTAATCAATCAGACTGTTTGACATATGTGTATACTATGCGGGGTGCATCGATACTGCCTAAAGATTATTAGCAAACGTGGACAGTGGCTAGCAGTGGAATCAAGGATGCTCGTTTCGCACTATTTGGAACCCGTCAGCTGGATGCATTGAGGTAATCCGCACAGTATGTACATATGCCAAGGAGACTGATCGACTGCAGTCCTAAACAGCAATGGGGAAATTGAGACAACCAAAACAAATGGATTAATCATCACCGCACTGCACAGGTGAGTGACAGCCTGAACTCAGTAGCTGAGTGGATGGCGTCATTTTAAGCAACAGATGTTGAGTTCGAACTCCAAAATGAACATCAATATTGAGATGCAGGTATACCAAACTGATGAGTCCCTAATGGAAAGAAACGTGCCTCCTGGAAATCACTACTAACCACTGTTCACCTCTGCTGATAATTCGATATACTATTCTATCAAAAAAATATTATAAAGCATAAGTGACAATATTTAAGAATAACTCTTTCATGTCAGTTACTTTGTAACGAAAATCCAATTTTACCATAGTATTAAATAAAATGTGTAGTTTAATATAATTTATATTGATTAGTAGAAATTTCTGGTTAATTTTGGTTATCACTTCTGAATTTGCTTTTTAAATAAATAGGTATACATAAAATGAAAACTACTAAAACTATCCTACTAATCATTTTAGATTGTATTCAACTGTTTACTATAATTAGTTAGCATAAGTCACATTGAAAAAATGGAAAGATTGCCAGATTGAAATAGAAGTCACATTTTGTACTACATTAATTATTGATGAATTGTATATTATTTTAATTTAATTTTGTAATTGTTAATGAGTTGAACATGAATAGTGCGAATAAATTAATTCTTCTAAGTTATATTACTTGTTTACTAAGATAATCTAATCTATTCAGAAGATGATAGATGACAATCTATTATTGATGTAAGTAAGCTAATTTTCAAGAAATATACTAAATTTATACGGAATCGATAGGTTGTAGTTATCAGTGAAATCAATGACGCTTGTGCCCGACCATAGCTGATACCTTGTCGTGGTGGTCGGCTTGCTTCTCATGATGATCAAGCTGAAATTTATTGGCTGGGACATATGTTCCTGTAGGTTCTACCATGCCAGGCAGGTCGATTGCACAGCGGTGAGACTAAAAGCAGCTACTTAAGGTCTGAGGGGGAAGTCGTACTGCTGACTACAGAGAGGTGTGACAGCAGTAAGATGTTTCCCTCGGACAACCAGCATCTGCAGCGATGCTGCCTTCTCACAAGGAAGGAAGGGTTAGAAAAGGTCGACCCTAAAAATGTCACACCTCACCTTGCCTCACGGATTTCCGTCTCCGGCGGTAACGGTTTTCAAGCGGAGCTAATACTTTAAAATTTTTTCATAAGAAGGCCATGCGTGATCGGCCTCAGGCGATCTTCCCTCGGGCTCTGCAGTCACGCTCTCAGGTCTCTAAGACCGACACTAATCTACCTTCCTTTTCATGTTCTTAAAGAAACACCTTTCCTCGGTGTCGGCAGCCGGGAAGTGAGATCCACTCTCATACCCGTAACAATACACGAGACCGAACCGGTCACAACCAAATCCTTCCTACATCCCCTAACATTTCTTTTATCTCTACGAATAATTCTTCTCACGTACCTTTAACAACCTGCACTGCTAATGCCAACGATTAGAGTTAATGTGGTATGGCAGCTTGAACTGATCTGCTTACGTATGAAATTCTATGTTGTAACTGACTGACTGGCAATGACGCATGATTTATCCTATTTGTGAATTATTATCTGAATGCACCTACATCTAAACGTTGATAATCTTGATTGCACTTGAACACATTATCTTTAACTTCAAGCACTCAACACATTATTCAGTGAAATATTAAATTTATATAACCAGTAAACTGAGCAAAGAATAAGAATTTTAATATAGTTTGTAATCGTTTAAATTATCTGTATGTTGATATTTAGGACTGAAATTTGTTCACTGCTGAACAATCAAATCATTACAACTTAAATACGCTCTTTGTTACTTCAACTTTTAACTGACAAATAATTTTGTTGAATGGTTGTTTCGTTTTGTTTACATCGAAATCCTTAAATGTCATATTTCATGCATGTGGGTGTGTTTTAGTTAGGTGGTTTCCAATGGGAACCTTGTCGACACCACGCCTGTGTAGAGAAAAATCACTTACCTGTAAAAACGGTGTCAATAATATTCACTTTGTTTTCTTTTGAGAATAATTTTGAATTTTATTCATTTGTAATAAACTTTTTCTCAGATATATTGGGCTATCCATAAAAAACAAATTTTATTTCTTTCAAATTCCCTTATTCAATATATGTAAGAAATTGAAAATTTTGAATGAACTGAATGTTTAGGCACAGGTAAATTTTAATAAACGTAAATGATGTCAAAAATTTTTTATTTTTATTACGGACTGAGTTAATTAAACAAACGTTGATCAATAAGAACTACTGGGTAGCTGATTTGTCTTCGAAAGGACCCCCTCAATAGTAATGTTGGACACGTTAGATCACCAGAACTCACCTGGAAAAGGTCCTAGTTTTGGATTTTATTATATTTTCGTTGGCCTTGAGATTACATTACTCATTCGGAAAATCCTTGGCTATTATTGGTTGATGTGTTATTTTAGTAAGCTATTTTTGTGGCTTTCTCAAGGACGTTTGTATGATGTATAAATAAACTCAATTTGTGCGCTTGTCGACCTCATATTTTCTGGGTGCTTGTAGAATACACTTTATACGTCTTATCAAGACTTCTTGATATAGTTGGCTGGGCCGTGGACAAACGGATTAGAATAGCCTATCGTGTTACCGTATAATTTGACTTCGCTCCGTTTTCCAAATAAGGTGAACTCATCATAGTTTCAAGCATATCAAGTATGAACGCACAAACCCATTACATTTGATCGAACTCTTGGCGTCCAGATCTAATGACATTATCTCGAATTTCAGACCACTCAGCTGACAACTGGTGATTTACATATCTAACCTCAATCGATTTGCAGTACTGAATCACCACAGCACCTTGTCTATGGACTGTAGCTCCTAGATTCGAACCCCTTTTGGGATAGTAGATGCATACTGATGAATCACATACTAGAACAAAACACCTTTCTAGTACCTTCAGCTTTTTAACGGTTGTCTAAGATCAGTTCATAATATAAAGTGTGAAAAATCAACAATCTTCAAAAAATTTCTGTATTTTTCTTCTTTTCGTTGTACTCTAAATAGCTGTGCGTCATCTTTTTCCAGATTCTGGACAAGCTAGTTAATTCATTCTTCCTTGACTTAAAAATCAATTACGGAAACTAAAGGGAAGATTTATTGCATCGTGCAAAATTAACTCAAATCCTTAGACACTAAAGTGTCTTTTTTATGATTCAACCAAATCATCTTCCTCCTTTAATAGTTCATTAGATTATTTACCTAATTCTTAAGAAAATCAATTTCTTGTACTAATGTAACTGTTTATAGAGAGCGATTAGCTAAATGTTCATCAAGTTTAAGATAAAGAAAAACAATATTATCAAGAAAATTTCATTAATATAAGAATGATATCTCTCATAGTTCCGTATAAACTTCTAGAATGACAATAATTATTCACGTCAACTGGGATAATGAATTAAGTTAAGAACGCATAATGTTTGTCTTTCTTATAAATAAATGAATTCTTCTCATCTGTATTCACCACCTTAACAAACCTTTATTGATAAAATATCTCTTTATGACATAAGTCATCAAAGATTGAACGCTATCGAAGCTCTAGCCATTGACACATCTGATCCTATTGACACATTTAAACAAATTCAATTGAAAAAGATGATATGCAGATCATAATCAATGCATTCCATTTCAAGATTTTGTTTATCAGCCATTAGATAGTTTATACTGTTAGAAATAAATGAAAAACTTCATTTATTCTAACTGGTTATCTTAAAAAGAAAGCTAACAAACAAAAGAACAGAACACTTTCACAATATTAATCTTCTGTGCTGAAATTGTTGCACGTAATATGTGCAAAAATAAATCTCATGTTACAAAAAGTATAAAAGGTCAGAATTTTAAATATTGAATAAAATTTTCAATTATCAAACAGTTAAATGATATAGAATATTTTTAAGTAATCAGTAAATTTTTAATATGTGAAATTACGCTTAAAGTAAAATGATTTTATTCAAAGTTTACTAGGTCGGACGTCACTTTTCTTCTGTGTACCCTAGATCAGGTCGATCATGCATAATAGCCAATGGTTTAGTTTTAAATAAACTTCTCATTGGCTAAACTGTAAAGTATTCAAAAAAAAGTATACATTCAGTGTTTTCATTAATAAATTAAAAGTATGATCAATGTACTATATAGAGTTACCTTGACATACTTCAACACGATGTCTTTCATAACTTAAATGGCTCCGTAATTAGTGTTGACACTGCATGAAATGTTACTGGGTGGTATATATTTTGGAACATAATTTTTTACTACAACTATAAGCAAACAATCATGGCGTGCTAACGCAAGTAAAAATAGAACATACACTTCCGCACTGATTACTTGAATTCATTAAACTGCATAGCATATTACCAAAGTGTAGACAGTGTAGGTAGGAGTCGTGGATAAGCACTGTTAATGAATATCATATCAAGGTGAAAAGGTAGTCCAATGCTTCCAGGTTTCTAATGGTGATCTAACAATTATTGATTGATGATTTCAGTAATAAACACTGGTCTCCATAACTGTATAATGAAAAATACCAATAAATAACTTTTTATCTGTAAGATTTAAGGACAATTAAAAATCTTCAAAGTGAGAATAATTCAATTAATTTCATTTAACATACATAAATATTTTATATGTTTAATGTAAAACAACTATTAAAAACTGTTATAAATACAACTCAAAGAATTTTAACTGATGTTGAGATTTTACATTTTTATAAATAATCGTAATAATAAAATCACAATAATACTAGTAAAGATTCACAATTAATATTTTGTATAAATTCTATTTTAATTTTTTTAGATAAGTAATTTCTCAAATGAGAATGCACATCATTTAGCTAGTAACTATGTTACACAATTTGCTATCGATGGATTACGTACTTTGGTTTATGCAACTCGTCAAGTAGATTTTGAAGAATATCATCAATTGCTCAATGAATTTTATCAAGCTAAATCATTGGTTGGTTCACAGCGTAATGATGCATTGAAAGAAATTTATTCAAAAATTGAATATAATTTACAAGTAGTTAGTATTACAGGAGTTGAAGATAAACTTCAACCTGGTGTTCATGAATGCTTGAAAAATCTTCGTGAAGCTGGAATTCAAGTAAGAAAAAGCCTGAATTTTACTTCTTATCTATATATACATGTATTCTATATAACTAGATTGAATAAATGCAACCAATGTTTAAGTAATAATGAATAGTTTGCTAGAGGTTTTCATAAAACGAATATTTCGGCTTATTTAGAGCTAGTCATTTGGACACTTACTTACTTACTTACGCCTGTCACCCTAAATGGAACATAGGTCGCCGACTAGTGTTCTCCAACCTACTCTGTCCTGGACTTTCCTTTCCAGTTCTGTCCAATTTTTATTCATTCTTCCCATATCTTTCTCTATTTCCCGGCGTAATTTATTTCTTGGCCTATCACTTTTCCATCGTGCGTAAGGATTCAAAATGAGGGCTCTTCTTGTAGTGGAACTGTCTTGACATTTGTATTGAAAATTCTGACTTTGGTATTGGTTGATAGTTGTTTGGAGTTCCAGATGTTGTTCAATTGTAGAACTCCATCTGGAACTTCACCACTCCATGAACTTAAAAGAATGGTTGCTCTGGTTGTCCAAAGGGGCATCAGCCTCGTAACTTCAGAAGAATCTAGGCTTTTATCATGAGACTTCATAACTCTTCTGAAAGAAGACCTTCGAACTCCAGAGCAGAGTTAAAATGATTTGAATTATGTTTTCTGGTTAGCGTTTTTTAGCGAGCTTGTTTTTTTATGGGATGGGATCACCATCCCTAAGCCCAACCCTCCTCCTTTATTCGGGCTTGGGGCCAGCAGTAGCCCCAGAGGGGCTACAGGCGGAGTTTATTTGGACGCACCTACATCTAAACATAAATGATCATTCTGGGAATCTAATTCATTATCTCTGACTACAAACACTCAACATGTTATCCACTGAGATGTTGATTTCAGATAACCACCAAATCGAGGAATAAGTATAAATTGAAACTTAATTCATAATGGTTTAACTCATCCCGTTTTTAATACTCTGGATCGGAAACTGATAATTTGTAGTTGAGATACGTGCATCATAATTTCGCCATGAGCATTTTTAGGGTTACTGACGGACTGAAGCCAGGATAAGGAAGGAGAGTTAGGTGTAACGTTAGCAACCACATCCCATAAATAATAGAACTTCACGATGGTATACAAACCGAAACATTGGAGTCAGATATAGAGGTAACTTCAAAGATTTCCCACGTTCACTTCAGAAAGAAAGAAAGAACAAACCGATATACGAAACAAAGCAGGTTTTAGTAGTATTATTAGAACTGGGCCAAGTTGCCACCACAGTGAACGCTCAACTTTGAGCTCAACAAGTTGGGGGTAGGTCGTCTGCTAACCAGACTAGGACACTAGGGATCACTGCTGCACAATCAGCTAAATGTGATACATCACTACACATCAATGCATTTGATTGTGAGAGATTAGTTGGAAGATTCGATAGAAAAACCTTGTGGAACCTTGTTTGGCACGATGATGTACTTGAGAAGATTATCACTAAGAAGTACAGGTATTTATAAGCATCTATCTATGCAAGATATTCAGGATCAATTGACCAGGAACCATCAGAACTAACCTGTTGTTCTAGAGACTAGACCGGTTTTCAGCTGAGGAAAAAAAGTCGGAGATGAATAGTTCATACCTTAGAGAAATGGTTAAAATGCATCAGAATGCAAATCCTAACTCATAACAGAATGAAAAGATGTAGACCAAAGAACAAATTGCACCAGGAATCAGAGACAGAGAGAGACTTAAATAGTAATTGGAAACAACTAGAAATGAAGGCATGTTGTATAATTTGTTGTAAATCCCTGATCTTCGCTCATTGTTCCAGAATGGGTAATAAGCGTAAGCCAGTAGTTTCTCCATCAACAGATACAACACAGTGGTAGGGATGCTGTTTTACTTTACAAATTTCTAAGTACTACAGTGTTGCAGGAGAGATTTGTCATCGAGTTAGATCATAAATACTGCTTTATCGATTACAATTTATCGACTATCGCTTTTTTGTATGAATATACAGTAATGATGAGAATCTAATCGAAAAGGAATACGTCTTTGTGTGCTCATGACTGAATTACTAAGAGATTGGTCACTGACGTTCTAATGGTAATTCACGAAAGTTGTAATTGTACCATAGCACACCAGCTAATGATCTACAGGTTAAGCACCCACTAACTGACCTGGAGTTTCCTAGGTTCGGTTCCTTATGGAGTCAAGACCACTCACTATCAATGAATCACACACTAGGACGAAATAGCTGTTAAATGTTCAATACTTTTCTGTATCACCCTAGCTGAGGTGAAACTTCAGAATAAGAGAGTATAGAAATCTCATTAAGGATGCATTCTAAGATGTTATTATCTCTTGAACATAGTGTGACCTTTAAACCATTGAGGCTGAATAAATACTTTGCACTTTTAACTTAATTTCGTTTACTATTCAGCGCAAAGATAAACCAATGTTATTAGAGTTAGTTGTCTTAATCATAGCATAGTTGAACTTTGTGAATTTATTAATGTCAGCTTGAAAGTCTCAAACAACTTTAGCCACGAGATAATTTTTAAGTTGATTAATTGAAAATATCATTTCATTTTTGAGAGATAAATTATCCAGGTTCAAAATAAGCTGAACAACAACTCTTTATCATCCACTTTGTAAATTATTGATTTTGGCTGTTCAATGTCGAACTTTTATTGCCAATTTATTTTTGATTTCCATTGTTGTTTTTTTTTAAATTCCAGGTTTGGGTATTAACAGGAGATAAAGAAGAGACAGCAATTACTGTTAGTCGTTCCGCTGGACATTTTACACCAAATATGAGTTTAGTTCATTTAACAGATTGTGAAGATTATCTCAGTTTTACTTATAAACTATTTCATTATTTGGAAGATTTAAAAATTCGTCGAAAAAAAAGAAATTTTAAAAGAAAAATGAAAATATTTTTTGAAAAACCAATAAACGCTTTAAAAATGAAAACTTATTCAAAGAATAAACCAAAAGTTGATTTTGCTTATCAAACTAATTCCTCGGATGAAAATTATACATTTGATAATTTAAAAAAATTGTTTACAAGTAAAAGACCATTACAAATTGAAATAGATCCACCACGTTTTAGACATTCAAAAAGACCAGGCTCAGATGGTGAACCAATGGCGCTGGTAATAGATGGTAAAAGTTTACGATTTGCACTAGATGTAAGTTTGATTTTAGTGATAAGATTGAATTTAATTGATCTGTAATAATGAAAGGATTCCATAAAAACTATTAACTAAATGAGTTGAGGGTACAGTAATGACTAGTTTGAGAAAGATATGTCAAATTATGATATCACGATTTGATCGATCAGAATAGATCAGCTATCAGAAAGACTTGATGTGCATGATGTTGGTTACTACTCAGTGAATAATAATTTGTAAACGACTATTCTGATTTGCAAGGGTTTGTATTTATCCTGTTGCTGATATTAAAGATAATAATAGCTCAGTCGTTCTAGGTGTCTGTGAATTCTGAGCGAATTTTCTCAACATTCTGTCTAAACTAGAAGTTTTAGTGAAGTTGAGGTGTGACTAGCAATGTTTTACAGAATATAAAAACGTCAAAAGTTCTACTAACCAGACAGCTGTTCTAGTATCATAAATGTTAGTGACAGAAACATTTAGTGTCATAGAATACCATTATTGATCTTTGACGTGAAGAAACCAGAAGTGTTTATTTTCTTCTCTAATACGTTCACGTTAATAGTAAATGACTCGTAAAATATATTTCAATGCCTAATATGTTTTCATGAAAGTTCAAATTGAACTATTCACACCTATTTTAGCGCATTTCAGAGTGATAAGAAACTTACATTTAGGCACCACATATTTAATCAGTGTCTGTATTGGCTGGTTAGAGGCTTTAAATCTATGACCGTTGTTAGTTGGTATCTTTTAAAATGAAATCGAAGTACCCTCAAATACAACTGAGCTTGTTTTTATTTAATTTGGTTAAGCCTTTTCATTAACTTAGGTAACCGAGACATTTGTATAGCAAGAACTTATGTGTACCATCGGCTTTTATCATTGTCTGGTTTGTATTAGCTGGTACGACTGAACATTGCTTACCGGCATACGCGGATATTCATCCTATTCGCTTTGGTGTTAACCTCTTAAATATTTCAATGACTCAGACATTTTCTTATGTATATATATGTACATTTTAATCTTATCAATCCATTCGCCGATTCGCTCACTCGCTCTGTTGCTTGCCTTCCGGCACTTGCTTATTGTTTTTAACTTTGTGTGCCTGTAGTCTGCTGGTCCAATTATGATGAGCCAAATAAACGTGTTCAACACTTCGTATTCGTTTTCTGACTTATAAACCGTGGGGCGCTATTTGCCAACGGTTGTCTGGACGAGCAACTTATGAAGTCTAACAACGCATCGTTTACCGAGCGTCATGAAACTAGTAAGACACTGGCCACCACAAAGTATCTACAATCTTGAAGGAACCACTGTTACTCTTGAAACTCGAACCAGTATCACGGTCACATATGCTAAAACTAAACTATTTGGGTCTTTTCTAATCTTTTATAGGAATCAGATTTTTTAAAATAATTTTTCAATGGATAGGAGGTGATTTATATTTGTCTAGCCATAAGTATCAGACAATTTTGGTTTAATTTTTCACGCAATAATGAAACGTGATTTCACCAGTTTATGATTTGTATAAAATATCAATTTGCTTTTAACCTGATGACGAAATATTTCTTCGTAACTGTTAAAACTCACATATGTATATTGGATCGGATGTTTTTTTTAAAAAATCAAGGTTTATCATTTGTAGAACACATGATAAAATTTGCTAAAGTTCACACTGGTTTACTCTAGAAATTATTAAATGAAGAAATATAGTATATTTTTTATAATGTACGTTTTTATAATATTCAAATATCTTTTTAATCACGAACAATTGAAGCACTGAATAGTAATATAGTATATAGTTTATATGGTACTGAACTTTAGTGATTATGTCATGTGCTAAAACTGTTATGCATGAACGTCAACATGTCATTTGATATGCTTGAACTATTAAAAGTTTACCCTAGTCGGAAAATGAGAGTGAGGATCGAGGGTCCAGCAACCCGACAGGCTACTCTAATTCGATTGTCCCAAACCCCGATTGAGTAAAAGAAGAAGATTTGATATGAAGTAGAACATGTATTCTAGAAAGTATGAGGTCCCGGACTAGGGATCCGGGTCCAGGTCCAGGTCATAAAACGTTGCAGATAATGCGTATTTATACAGTTAGGTCGAATAGGAAACAACATTTGAAGTAAGTGACATTGATAGGATAACCAATAGGAATTGACCAATAGAATTAGACTTACAAACAATTATCTTAGGGTATTGAATGAATATCCTAACAAAAACATTTTCATAATAATATTACTAATGCGAATTTAGGCTACTCGAAGCTTATTTAGAGGTCCGCAAATCTAATAAATTCATTTTATTCTTAAAAATATTATTCTTTTCATTTTATTTAAATTTATCAAAAGATCAGGTTGTATAAAATACAGTTCTAGTCGGTGAATTTTCACAAAGAGAAAGGGAATTGCGTCAATAATCTTCAGTTCTTGTGATTAGTACCAAATCATGATCATATATACATTTATTTCAACTAAGGGCATTTGAAATAACTAATGGAATTGCTTGTACATAACAAAATAAAAAAAAATCCTCAAATTTATTTAAATATATTCTAGTAGTCGCCTATGAGCCAGTAAGTTTAGTCAGTAGACAATATGAACTATACTTAATGTGAATAAATCTGATTACGTAATAACAAACAAAAGCGTTTAACAATTTACGCAAATCCAATAATCATGATCGATCAAGAAGTAAACAACTTTTATATGTAAAAAAGCTGCGAAGATACTATTAGTTCACATAATTATAGATATCTTGTTAGTTCTTGAGAACGCTAGATCCCCAGAACTCACTTGATAACGACCCTAATTTTGTATTTTATATTTTCGTACAAGGGCTGATCTGATGACCTTGAGATAACATTTCCCACTCGGAAAATCCTTGACTGTGATTGGTCGATGTGTTATTTTAGTGTGTTATTTTTGTGACTCTCCCAAGGATGTTTCTATCATGTATAAATAAACTCGGTTTGTGTGCTTGTCAACCTCATATTTTCTGGGTGCTTGTAGAATACACTTTCTACATGTTGTCAAGACTTCTTCCTCTATTTAGTGAGGCTTGATACGCTCGAATTAGAGCAGCCTATCGTGTCAATGAATCATTTGTCTTCGTTCTCGTTTACCGACTAAAGTGAACTTGTAATAGTTCCGAGCATATCAATTGACGACCAACACAAAGCAAGGACTAATAAAAATGACAAGATTCTGACGAACATTTGGTTTATGATGTTTATGAGTTTCAACCAGTGCTTCTTATAACTGATTGAAATATTATGTTAAACTAATCGTGATTTACCTATTTGATCAACGGGTGAATTGAAATATTTTAAACTGGACAATAGTTGATATAAACTAATTCATAAGTAAATATAAACACACACCATTGACAACATCAGGTGATTTAATTGTATGAAGCTAACAATTTGAAAAAAAAACTATTGAGTTGCCTATTTGATTCTTCTTAATAACAATACACAGTATAAACTCCACTATTATTGATTGTTTCAGTAAAAAAATTCTATTTTCAATGCATTAATTTTCATTTTCATCTTTTTTAGCCTGCTCTAAGAAGAAAATTTCTAGATTTATGCTTGCACTTAACAACTGTGCTATGTTGTCGTATGACACCACTTCAAAAAGCATCAATTGTACAACTTGTACGGTCAGGTTTGTCAGACTTTGGTATTCCACCGATTACAGCTGCTATAGGTGATGGTGGCAATGATGTTGCCATGTTATTACAAGCTAATATTGGCATAGGTATATATGGTAAGGAAGGAAAAGAAGCTGTACGTGCTTCAGATTATGCTATACCACAGTTTAGGTAAGTTATTTAAGTTATCCATTGTAAAATAGAATATGCCTAGAAATTTTCAAATCTTTGTTAAACCTAACGGAATGGTTAAAATTTAGTTTGGTTTTATACTTTTTCTGTTGAGATCATGAGTCGGCATAGTTCAGAAAAGCATCATAAACCAGGAAGCACTGGACAACTGTTTTTTCCTGGTATGGGATACTTCAGTGATAGTGCGTACCCCACAAGTGAGGATCGAATGTGGAGTCTCCGGTTCAGTACTATAAGTTGTTTTAAGTGGGATGTCTGAATCACTGGTTGCTGAGAATGTAATCTTGAGGCTAAGTTTTTGACACCATATCTAGTTATCTTGGATTCGATCCCCTGTAGTGAGTTGCTGAATATGATCTGACACTGAGAAGTCAAACACTAGAACGAAACAGTTGTCAAGTGCTCTTTGATTCGTAATGTTTGTTTAGTTTAGATTGGTTCTTGATTTCAATAATATTCAGCAATCTCCACAAGATTCCTTGTGAACAATAAGATAATATTGTTAATTATTACACAAAAATTTGTCGATTAAAGCAGAATAAAATTAACCACTATGTGGTTATGGAGTAGCTCTAAAAATATATTAATTAACTTTTGATTATTTAAAACAGTCATTGAATCCATTAGTTTTAATCGATATTCAATAACAACATGAACTTTAATTTTGTTTAACTTGTACCAAAAATATCATTCATTTTGATTGTTACTATAAATGATCCTTTTGTTTTAATAGTAACACACTAGTAACATGCTAAAGCTTTTAACAAAATATTCAAATTGTAGTTTTATAAATATTGTAATATTTCAAAAATATTATTTAGTTTATATTCATATTATGAATTTGAATAATTTATTTTCCGCACGTAATATGGTGATATCACTAATTGTTTATTTTATCAAGATGGAATATGAAACGAAACGGCTCAAATACTTATCTATCACATGTTGAATACGTTGTTTCTTTAGGCACTGGAATGAATTAGTGACTGCTTTTTGTTTTTAACATGAATACCTTGAAGTTTTAAAAAATTTAATGAGTGCTCTGATGGAGTTAACTCATTCTGTAGGTGGATATTGATTATAGTTATATGATTGACAGATAATAAGAGCTGATTAGTGTTAAAGAAAATTAGAAATTTTCGAATGAGTGTCTAGTGGTTTAAATGAAAACAAACTAGGTAAGATACATTTGGGGATTAGATATCAACCTGGCAAATGACCACAGTTTCTGTAAGTGTTGGATTGGAGAGCTAGATCATTTGGGAAGTCTAGATCGTTCAGCTGCATCCGAGCTGTCCATTATATCCTGTGCTTCCCCCCCCAGATGTTGACGTCTTCCTTATCCAGCTGACCACCTTAAAAATGAGGAAGGGTGAGTGTAAGCAACCTTGTCTTATGTCGGTCTGTGAACTGTCCTCCATTGAATCCATCATAAGAATTCCTTATGATGTTGACTATCTTCTCAGACAAACTATAGTGTCGAAGAAGCCTCCACAGTATCATCCCTTCCATGCTTTTAAATGCTTTTTCGTAGTCGAGTAGTTGGATGTATGGTAGTGAATACTATTCAATTGATTGTTCCACAGTTTTGAAATAATATGCATGATATTTAAAGAAAAATCAATGAATTAACTATCAAGTATAACTAAATTTTTGGGTCACATTTTAGTTTATTCCTAACAGTCTTACTTTTAATTTCTTAGATCTTGATTTTTATCAATAAATATATTTCCACTGAGCATTAATGATCATAGCCTACAATAAAATTAAACAAAAAAAATTTCATTTGTTTATAATCATAAAAAATGACAATTCACCTTTTAATTTTTAAAGCTATAAGTTAGTTGATTGGATGTGGAACTTATATCTTCATGAATTAAATTTAATTCTCTACTATTTTTCATGAAACTCTGAAAGATATAACAGAATGAGTTAATACTGTAAGCAACGAATAGATTGCATGAATAGACAACGAATACTGTAAAACTCATCCGATACTTTGTGTTTGAACAAAACAAAGAATTTATGATTTCCAAAATTCTAATTTTTCTAGAAAAACATTTTTAAACAACTTACAAGTAACATTGATTCAATATGGATTGAAGTCATTCGGGCTGTTTGGCTTACATAACAAAATAGATTTATTTAACCTGTGTAATTAATGAAACTTATTTGGCTTCATAAGAATTTTGAGCATCAAAGCTTAGAAAAATCCTATTTTATTCAAGAGTAAGTATAAGCCTCGCCACAGTACCCCACCAAAGTGTTGTAGAAAATTATGTTTTAAAAAGAAATCTGATACCTTATTTTATTTGATTAAATAAAATTGAAAATAAATAAATGAATTTTAGCGAAGAACATTAAAATTAGCCAAAACTGATTCACAAAGGTTTCATCAATCTTAGTGCACGGCGATAAATAAAAACAGAATATACTTTAATATCTATATTTTTGTTATAAAAATAACTGCATTACGGGGTTGTGAAGATTGTTAAGTTACACATTTTAACTCATGAATCGATGAAAGTTAGACCACCATTATAAACCTGGAGGCACTAGACTGCCGTCTCCTCCTAGTATGGGACTCATCAGCAGTGCGCATCCATGACTCCTGCACCTCGCAGGATTCGAACCCGGGGCTTTCGGGCTTGCGCGCGAACGCTTCACCTCTGACCATCTGAGCCGGTCTCTGTAATCCGTTCGTTTTTTGTGCTGAATTCCATCTATCACTGATTTATAAGATTGATACCTTGGTATGAACCCAGTTTCATAGTAAATGTAATTTTATACAACCTAAAAACTAGGATGCCTTTATTTCTATTGCAAAACTAGCGATTTCCGTTCAAAGAAACCCTAGAAAGGCATTCAACAGATCAGTGCACAGATCATCATTAGAAGGAGTATTAGAAAATAGTTTAAACATGCACTTTTTTTCCCAATAACACTTATACCAAATACTTAAATGAACACATATTTTTTAATAAGATTGAATTTGATTCTTTTAAATAAACATTCAAGGTAGACGACACCTACTAAATTAAACTAATTATCGAATAAATTACCGACTTCTCTTACAAACTGAAAAAAATGATAGCAATTTTAATTTTATTTTTAATTTTATTCACTTTTTACAAACAATGCAGACATTTACAACGTCTTCTGTTGGTGCATGGACATCGAACTAATCATCGATTATGTTTAACAATGAATTTATTCTATCATAAATGTGTTGCATTTGTAACAACACAAGTTTTGTATACATTTTATAGTGGTTTGTGAGCTGTTGCGACATTTGAAACTGTTTTATTTTCAATATACAATTTAACTGTAACATCGATAATGTGTATGATTTTTGGCTTGTTCGAACGTCATTTACCTGATAATATATTAATTGAAAATCCATATCTTTATCGAAAGGTAGGTTTGTGAAAATTTTTTTAAACAGTTAAACTAATAATTATTTTTTTTTTCCATAAAAAAAACCGATTTCACCAACATGAAAGTGAATTAGAAAGTTCTAGATTATTACTGTCTCGATACGTTTTGAAATGTTTTGCTGTACCACGTTCTGATTATGCCTAATAACTGAATTGTATGTGTTCAAGTTCTAAGTTGAGCTGTACACAAGATGTAACATCAAAAAATTTTGAAGTAAGGTAATAACACTTTTATAACATTGAATGAAGAGTATGAAAAAAACGAAATCAAATTTTGGCCAGGGAAATTTGAATTTATTGACCTTATTGTATCATCATGAACATTCAGTATCTACTCTTTCATGAGGTTGCAAGTGAGAAAATTTAAACATTCTCAAACTATGAAGAAGTTACAGTTGATATCAGTTCATGACTGAGGTTACTATCAAATTACAATTCAGTATTAGTTTTCGAATACTAGATGAAATTTCAAGGGTTAGTTAACATTGGTTTGTTAATTCTGATTGGGATATAACCTTAACATTAAACTTGCTTATAAGATGGTCAAGCTGAAATTCTTATTACGAATGATATATGGTTTAATACATGTATGTATTTAAAAAAATACTTGGCTCTTTCCGAAAATCTAGTGTTATTGTAGAGTCCTAGGTCCCTGTTAACTTTCATTTAGCCACTTTCTTATTTTGTTGACTACTTTGTCATATGTTCCCAAGCTCATTTTTACTGAAAAAAGGTGACATTTTTAATTTCCCTTTGAGAATCGAATCCCTCTTGTCAGGAAGTATTTTATCTTCTTCTTAATATGACTGGGAAATCTAAGGTTGAAGCGTCTCCATTACTTAGTCAAAACACCTGATGGGAACGAATGGAAAGGGAGAAATGCTCTCCATGCTTTATCAGCAACAAATACGATACATCATAGTTAAGTAATGTTTAGCTTACAGGTTAAATAAATTATTCTGTCATTCACTGTTAAACAAAGAGGTCAAAAGAAATGTATGCTATCACTCTTTATATCAACAAATCTAAAGAAAATGAACAAAATGAGAATCAAAGAAGTCAAAATACTAATCTGATTGAGAATGAGAAAATGAATGACTCAGAGAAAGATAAAGAAAGGGTTTATCTGTGTCATTGAGACAGATTTTGAGCTGTTATCTAAAGTTTCCAACCATTCTGTAGCATAAAGTGAAAACACGAACAATCGAACATTTATCCTTTACATTCACACTACGTCTCTTTAAAGAGGGTTACCTTTGCTTCTCCAACATTTGCCTTCATTTCTAATAGCTGTTTGATGGCAATTACTTCACTGGTCCTAAAAGGGATGGTAATCCATCTCTCACCATAGCTAAGACTAAAGATCAGCAACTAGAACTTACTTCAAAGCTAACTGGTGCTGCGTGTCATGGTAGGTGATGAAAAAGTGTCCATAACAAGCGTCCCATTTTTCCTAGTCGATAAGGTTCACAGCCTACTCAATTCACTTGACAAATCTGTTTGTCACCCTTTTCCTATTTTCTCAGTGAGTAGCTTAATAAGTGCACCATTGCTGATCAGTAATTCGAAAATATCATAAGTCAAGTACTTACATCCTCAACATTTACTACATATATTTCATTCATGATGTAATCCTGAGCAAGCTACTGTACAATTTACTGATCTTTTATTAAGTAGATGGAAAATACGGTAACGTACCCTTAAGTAGCAGCACGCATTTAACTAAGCACCTCAATATTTCGAAATATTCAATTAGTTGATCTCATCAAAAACAGTTGTACATATCAGTTTTCTTTCTCTATTTTTACTCCCAAAAACAATTCTGCCAGTAGCTTAAACATCAAGCAAACTTGAGATCATGGTATATTTGGCTATGGGTATTAGATGGAGTATGGCATGGTATTATCATATTTTATGGTACTACTTATATTCTTACTGGTGGGAATCAATTCTCTGAAAGTACATTTTATGATTCACATGGAAATATACAACAACTATTCGATATGAGTTTGTATGGATGTGCAACTTATGTGTTGATATGGTTTTCAGTCTGTTTACGTACTTTCCTTGCAACACATGATTGTACTGTTATAGTATTAGGAGGATTCTTAACTACTCTAATCGTGAATATAGCAATATTAATTGCATTACAAGTAAGTAAAGTATATTGATTTTTTTCAATAGTTAAAAATGAATTTATAAAACAATTGAAGCATTTATTATTATTATTATTCTTACTTCAATTATGTTTAAATTCGCATACATATGAAGAATATATGTATATTTAATATAACAGATTTAATATAACTATTAGATTACTGAATAAAATGTAATTTCATTTGAGTAAGACTTTTACAGTAGTGAAAAGTGGATACATAATAGAATCTTTTTTAAATAAAAGTGACTTTGATGTCTGTTGGGGACGTTAGATCATCAGAACTCGCTTGATAAATGTCTTATTTTTGGATTTTATTCATGGGTTGATAAGTTAACCTTGAGATCATATTTCCCACTAGGAAAATGCTTGGCTGTGATTGGTTGCTGTGTTATTTTAGTGTTCTATTTTGTGACTCTGCCAAGGACGTTTCTATGATGTATAAATAAACGCGATTTGTGTGCTTGAGATCATTGTGCTTGCTGAGTGTTTGTAGAATACACTTTCTACGCTATATCAAGACTTCTTCGTTAGTTCTTTTGGGGCAAGCGATCAGAGTAGCATAACGTGTTACTGGTTGATTGTCTCGTTCTCGTTTATCGACTAAGGTGAACCCGTAATAGTTTCGAGCATTATCAAGTGATGAGCATAACACTGTCTTAAGAAGAGGATATATTAATGGGAGCTACTGACTATGACACTTTTAAATACATAATATCAAACAGATATTCGTGGATAAAAGGCAAAAGTTTGTAAAAGTTCAAATAATAACAATATTGATTTTGAGGATAATAGCAAAGTAATAGAAATGAGAGTTTTTAAGTCAGTAAATACAATTCACCGAACCAAAGGTCATTCAAAAAAATGATCATTAACCTTTTTTAAACTTATCATTGATCAGTATGTAATTCTATAAATTACAATTCTAACAACTTGAAAAACAAAACAATCCGTTTTAACGCTTATAATATAAACTATTTCTTTAGTCAATAACTCTAGTTCTAAGAATTTATTATGGTTCAAGATAGTGTACCGTGTATAAAGCTGACAAACTTGGAAGATTTGGCTCAAAACGATATGTAGGGCTCGTCACTAGGTACGCTTGAAGCTATAACGAGTTCACCATGGTCGATAAACGCGAACGAGACAATTACCAGCGTCCAAAAAGGCTACCTTGAATCCCAAGCTGAAGATAGAAGGCTTTGTAAGCGTAGGAAGTATATTCTACAAACACCCAGCAAGCACAATGATCTCAAACACACAAATCGCGTTTATTTATACATCCGTCCTTGGGACAGTTACGAATATATCACACTAAAATACACATCAGCCAATCACAGACAAGGAATTTCCTGGTGGGAAATGTGATCTCAAGGTCAACTGATCAGCCCATCATGGCAAACGTGAAATCCAAAATAAGGCATTTATCAAGCGAGTTTTCGGGATCTAACATCCCCAACACGATACATAAATGTTGTGGTTATCTCAATGAAAGTGAATGTTAGGTACTTCTTGTGTAATTGATAAATACTTCAATCATATCACACTTTATTAATTTCACTTTGATTTTCAATTTCAATTAGATTTGAAGAATGACTGAATCATTACTCATCTAATTGTTTCGGTTAACATTTTAATATGTTTTACTGTGAATCGCACAAACCGAATATCTCTTACTTATTCAAGCAATAACATAACATCAAAGTAAAATTTAAATATAAATGAAATATTCACTGTTTTCAATATACGTCAATCTAAATCTTTCACTGGATTAAATAGTAAATAATACTTGGCGGATTAATATTACCAATTCTAATCCATTACTATATTGTCGAATTTAGAATCAAATTAAAATATTTTATTTCACATTATTTACACTCGTGAAACTTTATTAACATTTAGAATTTAAATATTAAATTTTTTTTTCTATTTAGTGTACTACAACACTTGACAACATCAATTTTCGTAGTTATATCAAATTATGCAGAAGTCCAACATTCTGGTTAACTTTACCGATCATTATATGTGCAGCGAATCTTCCATCTTTATTATGGAGAATTATTTCAGATGCATGGTGGAATTTACAAATTCATTTAGGTAGTATACCACAGAAACAGATTCGTCGAAAATATCGTAAATCATTAGCAGTTTGGTTTCTTGCACTTACAACTAATTATTTGACTAGTTCATCTAATGTATTACGTCGAAATGAATTTAAACAAAATAGTTTATAACGTGAACAAAGTCAACAGCAGTTTCTCGGTTCTATCTGCCAAGTAAGTTCATGAGCGTTTACCTCAATGAAAAAGATTTAACAAAGAAAATAGAAAATAGAATAACAAATCCGATAAGGAATAAAAATTGTATGATATTATCTAGCTCTCACTTTTTTTTAAATCATAAACACTTTATTGATTAGTTAAATCGCAAAACAAGTATTTGAAAAAACTTAATACTCTTAAAACTTTGTTGATTAGAATCCAATGGGCTTGCAACGATAAAAAAAGTATCCTCAAAATAAACAACCTAATGTTTACATCATTAATTTTATTGAACATAAAATTTGGAAGCAAACGAATAAGCATTTTGATCCTGTCCCAGCACACCTCATATTGAACACTTCTCTCATCCTCCAGAAAGCTAGACTCACACTCGCATGTTTATCTAACTCTGTCTACGATTCAATACATTGTTCCTTTGGATCATTTCTAAATTTTTCTTTGTTTTTCTTTCAAGTAAACATTGGAAAGAGTTTGATATAACTTTAGTTTGAATAATGTAGATTAAGTTAAATACTTTTAGCTTTTTTGTTCAGAACTCAGGAACTTTTATCTACAGAAAGCTACCTAATGAATAGCTTTGTCGAGGATACCTAATATTTAAATCTTAAATCTCTCAGGATTCGTAAGAAAACCTTTTTATGTCATCATACATTGAATATGAAAGCAAAATTAAAATAATAATACTTACTCCTGATGTATATTCTTGCCAAAACATAATTCATTAAAAATCTGTTCATTTTAAATAACTAGTATTACTGTTGATTGATTCAATGATAGGCACTTTTATACTTAAAACTGTTGAGAATTTGATTAATATTGTTTCCAAACCATTGACTTAACATGTCACTTCATCGTGTATCTGTGGATTCTGAACATATATATCTTCGGCTGTGGGAAAGCGTTTATTACTGTACACATGGGCCGATAAAGGATTAGTAGTCAGATTAAAAAACCAGTTAAAATCTTTGGAAAATTATTTGGCTACGTAAAACCACCAAGTGCATCGAAATTCTATTACCTTTAAAACATCAGTGTTTTTTTTTGTTTTAATGGTCTCTACATTCATAAACTAATAGTGAGTAAAAACATTTCATGGTCATTTTCATTACAATCCAGATTAATTTCATCGAACTTAGTTACCTGTTTCAAATATTTTAAATAAATATATCATACTTTCATAAAAGAACAAAGTTGAGGATAAACAAAGATGAATGAATATACGCTCAGCCATTTTCATTATAAACAGAAATATTCAAATGACCATTGATATATATAGAGAGCGGCTTCATTTTATGCTATAAATAATCGGTGAAATGCAACCGTATGGTACATGCTTTTGATAATTTCATGACTTGCAGCACAATGTTTTTGAATAGTGAATATTCAATATTCGATAGGTATATTCATTCAAACTAAGAGAATATTGTAAAATAACGAACTTTGAATTGATAATAAACTTTAAATTAAACTCATCCTGAATAGGTATTATTTTAGAAATTGATAAGAAAGATGGTTTTAGATTGCATTATTTGACACCTCAATCATGACTTAGTTTAAATCTAATTTCGCGCCCTCTCCTTCTAATATCAATTTACTTATATATATATATATATATATATATATATATATATATATATATATATATATATAAACAAAATTCTGACTGATCGATGTAAGTTTTAATTATCCTAAGAATATAATTTTTTTTCATTAAAATTTTACTTGTATTCGTATCCCTATGATAATAATTTGCAGTTCAATGTTTATTTTATTATTGAACTTTCAATGAGTACAATACGAATATTTTTTTATAATTTATAATTCTTTTAGATATTAGGATCTGAATTAAGAATGATGTATATTTACCAGTGCTTTCTGCTTAAAAGCTTCAATCCTCTTTTTGGAATAGAACCAAAACTTTCTATGGATATTCTTTAACATCTTATCTAAGTATATCTAAAACTAGCAACTCTTTTAATGAATTCTTCTTTACTTGCTTCTCTTTGAGGCACTACCTTTAATTAAATATTGTTGTAAATCATTCATTATTCTAATGAGTGCGAACTTAACATGTATTTTCATTTTCGTAGTTGTAAGATTAATCTACAACAATTTCTTACATGAAATGCTCTTTCTGTTACTGTATTCTCCCTCACCAATATGTATTGTTTCTGAAAATGCATTATATAACTGCTCTTATTGAGGTTGTAAATAAATATTGTCCTTTTAAATTCTCATTTTTTTGAAATCTTATTTATTAGTAATAAAAATTTGATTCAAATTTACTAGCCATTAAAAGTGGCGGTGGTCTTCTCTGTAGCGAAGTTGTAAAACAAGTTTAGAAATGCATGAATTTCCTTAACATGATATTTCCCTGCTAAGAGATGATTATATGAGGCTGTTAATAAAACAACAGAAATCAATCGCACAAGAAAAAGTTCTAAAAATATTAAATAAGTAATTAATTGAAGAAACGTACCAAACAAAATACCAGCCAAATTACTATATTCACTATAAACAGAGTGAGCTCAATTGTTCGTTTCTTTTTAAGATCTTCAGAATATCAAATGGAAGACAAAAAAGTGAATTGTAAAGCATGAGTTGAAAACCTGGACTAGATTAAAAAGTAATCAATAATTAAGGCGTATCTTGGAGGTCTTACTAACTGATAATTCCTCAACACATTATTCCTTGCTTGATATAATACCTTTAAACGTGCTTACTTGATTTCCTTTCGATCTAAACTCTGGTCCGTTTGTGATTACTAGTTCACGGATTAAACGGTCTCGGAAAATATTAGTCCATATGCTGAAATCGATAACTCCTGATTATCAAAATTTTAATTCATTTATTCACAAAAATTTTTTAGTCACCGCAAGAATTCATAAACTATAGAACAGGCAATTCCAGAAAGCTGAACAAGTCAGATATTGGGAGCAGGTAATTAAACTTGAAAAAAGTGCTAGCGTTTAAAAATTAAGAAAGTATGTGGATTTTTATCAAATAATATTGGTGCATATAAACAAAACTGAAGATGATCAATTGCTAGAATACCATGATAAATTCATCAATTTAAATGACAGGGCTACTAAAATCGCAAAGGTGTCTTATGACGATTAATTTTTTTCAGATAACTCAAAAAATCAAAAGGGATCTCATAATTCTTGGATTGATGAGCCTGTGTATCCAATAACATGTTTCCCAAGTAGCAGTGTTAAGTCCTCATCTATAGACAACCCTAATAACAGGTCGAATTCTGACGAAATAGGTGATGTTATTTGAGGAGATATTTGACCTTATTTATCTGTTCTTTTATATAAATGCTGCTAGTTCTTTCTCTACTTTTGATGTTATGGTTTATCTCAGGATGTTTTTTTCTAGTGTTGAGTAAGAAAGATAACTATGATAACATAAATGAACTTTAAACATTCATAAGGTAGGGTCAAAATATAATTCCTTCAAAACTGTTTGCTTGATTGCCAGTCGTGAATCAACCAGTAGTAGATGATTAAAGCGCTTACTACATTAGACTCATTCAATCCCAAATCGATTGCTACTTTGACGTTTTGCTTAACTACCAGTCATGACATTGCGCCAGTTATATAAATATGACTAAACTTTTGTGATTGATTCATGTTGTTGTGTCATTGCTACTGTCCGATATGTGCTTGCTTAGTGGTATCCTTGTAATTTTTCTCGTTTTTGTACTAGCTGTATGAAGCTGCATTTCAGGAACAGTTTATAATTGTTGCCTTGATATATATAATTATCTTCATTGGCCATAACCCTAGTCAGATTTTGTGGATGGAAATACATACACTTATTCGAGAAATTCATCTGTAGGCAAATCAAATGATACAATGCCAATGAATTTATTACTGAAACAGCATCCAATCATTACCATAATTTTGACTAAATACAAGAGTCTTCACCGGACTATCCAAAGAATCATAACAATGACCAATTTGAAAGGGATCTACTCAAGCACCAACACCCAAATAGAGTTAGAGTTGACTAGACTACGTTTAATAAAGATAAAAGAAACTCAAATGGAGAACTTATGTTGTCAAGTAAGATACAGTCCAGACCATTCCGTAAGAAACAAGGAGACTGTAATACTAAAATACCTTTACTTACTAAAAAGCGAAATCGTGAGGTTAAATGGTGGACTAGTCATTCACAGGGATTATCTTGGAAACTTCAAAGAATGTATCGACAGTGTAAATACTGAATTCAGAGCTAAATTGAATAATTTTAACAAGTGTTGTGAAGTAAAATTAAAGGCTACTGTTCTTCACTGTACATTGTTGGAACCAGCTATAGGATACCTCCAAGCATTGGAGATTTTGAAGGAAACTATCAGTCAAAAGCACGTTGTAGCCAACTCATTTATAAGTAATTCGTTGAATAACCCCAATTAAGTAGGTGACCAACTGGATCATTTGAGATTATCTCATGAAACACAGGCATGCTAACTGAACTTTCATGATATTTTCGGGGCTCAGGATCTGACTTCAATTTTCACAAACAATGAAATATTCTATGAAATAAATCTTTTATCTAATTTCTGTTTATCATTCTTAGACGAATCCTGTTTGTTAGATGGTGGGGACTATAAGCCCAATGCGATATTTTCTGGATCCATACATTTCATACATTCGCGTGAGCAGACAGACAGTAAAGTGAATCGTAAAAGTGAAGTGAGAAACAGAGAAGGAAAGTGGGTCAACACAATGTGATGAAGCATGACTAAGTATTTATAGTGTGACAAACATAAGCTGGACATGTGATGAGCAAAGCAAGCAATCCACATATGCACTCGAGTAAAAAACCAAGGTTATGGGCAAACAATAAGCAAGGTCGAAAGACGTGAATGGGTTAAGTATGTTACACAATGGCTGGGACAAGACATGCGGGCTCGTCATACTCAAATCCACACACCATAATATGAATTACGTTCCTATTGACACTATGACCATGTGCAATAAAAGTAGTTAATTGAGTTATACCCTCACAATAACCGATACAAAAAGACGACATCTGAGTAATTAATACGCTAATAGGATGAGAAAACTGCATCTCTATGTACAACAACCATACATGATTGAACCAAAAGTGGCTATAAGTAAGGGAAACAGTAAATGTTACATTGTCAACAAGAAAGCAGAATTAAATCGTATAATAATAATATATGAGATAATCAAGAGCTGGTATTGATTTTACTTTTATAAAGATAAACACGATATGTTAGACAGCAACATCCATTATTATGACCAATTTTACCAGTGAACGTTTTACTGAACATTTGTTTGTTCATACATTTTGTAACGCACTCTCCTTTTTCTCGCGCGGTTTCCGTCTTGCTTCTGCTGCTCTGTACCTTCTCCCATTTCTCCAGCACCTTTCGGTATTGTTTTGATACCACGAAATCGCCACTAAACACACTAATTTCATCTGAACTATCCCGTCTTCTCTCTTTCAACATGAGAGTTTCGGATAAACACGTGGGACCTGAACAACGATTAGTTTGTAGGCGTGTTCATATGGCTTTCTACTCAAACATCTACATCAGTTAGCTCGAGACATCGACAAACCTTATTATAGACGGGGTCGGTATAACACGTAATCTAAATACTAAATATGATAGAATCAAACAATATTTAATATCATCCACAAATCGGTATTCGAAGTTAGTGTCACTATAATCGTCAAATATGACAAAACTTAGTTTACAAGTTTATTAAGGATGTCAGAAACCCTGTTTGGTAGGTTTTACCAAGTTTTTAGAATAGTGGATCTGATATAAGCTCACTTTGATGAATATTTCACAGGATACACTGATTTTTTATAGGGTGCTAATACTTTTCACAGAAAAATTGTAGATAATGTTTCAAACTCTGAAATGTACAGTACGACAGTCCGTTGCGAGCTTGTGTCGGTTTGTCGCTGCCGACGGTACTTCTTCTGGTTGACAACCAATACAATGTAGATCCAGGTCTCTGCATATAACAAGAAGTGATGAGGTGAATATGTACACTTATGCAGGTTAATAAAGACAAGTCACTAGTAAGATAACGAATGGACAAATTATTGTATGAATATTACGAGACTTATAATAAGTAAATTGTTGGAAATTATGTTGATTTACAGAATATAATGATGAAAGCATAGTGATCTGATGCTTTGGTGATTTCTCATTTAGTGCTGTTTTAAACAGTTTAGCTCAGCAAGTCACGAATGAGTGTAGAATCTATTTCGCCGGCGGCTGTCCTAATCGCGTCCAATAGAAACACTCCGGTACGTTACTCCTAGATCCAGGTCCCAGCCAAATCAGAAGGTCAAAAATTCTAGGAGAAAACGTCTGGTATTTTTGTTTCTTCCAGGACTAAATTACTCCGTAGAGTATCTATTACAATAGCTAGTAAGTGACACTAAGTCCAGCAGCCACCGCGTCTATCCAAAAATGTGGCGGTAGCCATATTATATCAAATTTAAACAATATATGTACAGTTCAAAAGCAAACACAAAAACTTCAATATAAGTACAAAATATGGAAAGAATAACAACATACAATGGTAAAATCTCAAATTGGAATCAAATAAAATACCAAAAATGTCAAGAGAAAAGGTCCATCAGGTCATAGCAAAAATATGTAAACATGGAGGGATTTTCCAAAACACAAAACATTCAAAAAGAATTCTACACCGGCCCGCAAAATCCCTCCATGCAAAAACAGCAAGCGTTAATGGCATCTTATTTAGGGTTCCCATGTTATCCCCTAATCCACACCGGAATAACGTGTAGGACTTACAGCAGTACGCCTACCCGCCATCCAACATGGATATGACCTATCGTGTTAACTAGACACCTATACTTTCCCATCAGGCCCTTGATTCCCCTATCTATCGTGGAATGACCTAACGGTAGTATAAACCTTACCCAATTAACCCATACGAACATGAACAACGCGTCGCAAAACTGGTCATATCCTATCCAAGGACTACATTCTCTATCATGGGGACGAGTCGCCAATCCACCACCACTTGCTCTGATCAGCAGATACCATGAAGTCCGTGATGCTAACTTATCAACAGAAGTTTTTGACCCATAAATAATATGCAAGGGTGGGATTTCCAATTTTGACATTTCATCGTCTCCAGAAGACCTTAAGTAGCATGACGTAGGATCAATATTTATCCTTCCATCTCCTGATGCAGAGGAGGTTTGAACA